CTTGTTCGACACGCATCGACTTTCAAAGGGTCGGTCGGTGTGGCCGAGGTCAAAAAAAACTCAAGGCTTTGGCTACTTTCTGATGCTCGCGGATGAGTCTTTGGAAGTTGTCTCATGGCTTTCTAAATGCTCCAGGAGTCTTTCAGGCTACTTTCATCGCGAAGGTCTCTTCTGCGCGAAGCTCTTGGACCAACTTGCGCAGAGCGTGAGTGTCTCGCAGGGCATGTTTTGCTCGCGTGCCCATCAAACATCCAGGTGGGGTCTGAAAAAATCCCCTTAACATTTGGAAGCAATGCTTTCGGGCCTTGCAAGCTGAAGCTCATTCTAGTGCAAGAGAATTTATGAGGGCACTCACTTTCTCCCGTGAAAGGGCTCCGAAACCCATGTGAGTATATTCTGTCTAAGCTCCACAAACTGACTGAGTCACAATCTGACGGGGTATTGAGGACCTGTAATGTTGACCCCCGGTTTAACAAGCCCAGTTTATTAATAGGGGTGTGTGCCTGGGTTTAGTGAGAATTCATTGCTTTTGGAGGGAGCACCCTCATCTGGGCTCAAGATTAGGCCACTCCAAAGCGCAGGAAAGGCCCCATGCGGAACCTGATATGTGGCGCAGATCTATTTTGTCAAGTCCAATCAAAATTAGATCTTAGCTCTCTCTCACCGGTCAGATTCGATTCGCTCTTACGTCTTTGGATAGGCCTCTAATGCTTCCCGGAGCGAACTGGTGGAGGGGAGCATGTCTCACATCCCTAGACCCTCCAGGTGTGCATTTTTTCTGCCGTTTGCTGACAAAGCTATATATTGTGTCGCTTGCTCCAAAAAGAGCCTTTTCCTTTAAAAGTGCTGCTTCAAAATCTTGCCAACACGTGGTCGGCAAATGTCGCTTTTTGGTCGGAAAATGTCGCCTTTGGGTCGGGCAATGTCGCCTTTTCGTCTTCATCCTGGTTTCGCAAAACACCAAAATACTTAGGAGGGCCCAGGTCTGCGCCTGCGTGAGTTTCAGTCATAGAAGCTTTGTGTGATGCGACCGTTTGCTTTCTCTTCGGCAATACGGGTTTATGTTAGGCGTTTCTGTTGGCTATAGCGCTGCAGCCAGACAGGATGGAGACCTTGTTTTGGCTGTCTGGTGATGGCTTGGTCCGCCCGGCACGAAATCTCAAATCCAAACACAACAGGATACCCCTGCGGCATGGAACAAACAAAAAATAATTTGCCCAACGACACCCTCTGGGGCTTCCATGTTAGTCGGAAAGTCATGTTCCCTGGTAGAAACGCCATCCCTTCAAGGAGAGACCATTCTTGGTTCGGAATCCCGACGAAAAAGGGCAAACAGGTGCGGCTGACAACTGGGTCACGATTAAAGCATATTCAAATCACCTAAGTCACTACGGCGAAATACGTTCTACCAAACAAAAAAAACTGCGGACAAGCAAACCCATATACTATTCAGGGCTGTCACTTGGCATCCTGACTCCCACTACGTAAACGGGCCCCAGCCGATTTGGAGAGCTTGCGGCCCCGGCCTTCCGTGATCCCCGGCATCGGGATTGGGCTGGATGAAGGTGGTGTCGCCAGCCGCTGAAACCACTGGAGCCAGAAACTGGCGGCCCAGCAATCACCAGCACCCGGTTCCAGCGACTTTTTGAACAGTTGGAATTGCATGATTAGACTTAGGCCCAGTCCTAGAATGTATATCTTATTGTTTGCTTTCCTTTGAGTCACTGGTAAAATGTAAACCGTATCCTAAGTCTACCCCAGGAATTGGGTGGGAGGAGTCCATCTGCGCACCCCGAACATGTAGGAAATCACCAAGAAAAGCGGTATTGGTACTACCGAGGGCCATGCAACCACGGCTAGTGCTGTCACTTAGGGGAGTCCCTTGCAGAGAAAGCGGCGCTAACACCCAATGCCCCACAGCCATCCGAAACTTCCTGTGGTAGAATTTTCCCCCGGCCCGGAACCTTTGGAGGGTGGACTTTGACAAGCGAACAGTCAGAGGACTCCAACCCAGTCCTAGACGGGTTTCACCCAACTCCCAGGACCCGGGTATGACTCATCCTCGAAAGTTGTCCTCCGTGGCTGGTGCTTACCACCCTTTCGTCTTACTTTCGTGTTTGGTCCGTCTTCCCTTCTTTTGCCTTCTTGGGTCTTGTTTGGGCTCATCCAACTCTTGATGGGGTGGGCCTCGGGGTAGGGCTGTGGGCTCCCTTTTTGTTTAAAAGACGTACATGTTTACACGTGGACACAGGGCCTTTCGAAAGAGCCGATGACCCGCAAAAGGTCTGGCGGGAACCGCGTAAAGTAGAACAAGTCCTCGCTCAGTTTCTGCGCATGGACCACGCCGATCCGCAGAAAGCCGCGCGCGTGCGCCACAAGAAGTAGCCAAAGCTCTAGCTTTGTTTCCTCAGCCACGCCGATCCACGCAGCGGGTCGCTCGCGCACTGTGAACCAAAATCGCAAAAGTTCTGCTTTTGGACATCGACCGCACCAATTTCCGCAGAGGGTCGCTGCGCAAACGAAAAAACATAGGAAAAGCCCTAATTTGCTTCACATCGACCCGAGCGCATAAATCAAAAATAGACCAGGCCCTCAGTCTTAGCCCAACCCCCGCAGAGGGCGGGACTTGGTCCCACTGCGCTGCCTTGGGCGTGTTCTCTCGCGAACTTGGCGTTGTGTTGTCTCGATTGCTGCCCGCGTTCTCTCCTGCAACTTGCTGAACATGTTCTCTCTCGCAATTTGTTGCGTTTTCTCTCCCGCAACTTGCTCTGCACTTGCTCTCGTGCTTCTCGCTCTGCACTCGGTGTCGTGCATCTTGTGCTGCGTGTGTTCTCGACATGTCGTGCTCTCGTGTCTGTTGCTTTGCGTGTACTCTCGTGCCTCCTGTCGCGCTTGTGCCGTGGCGCATCTGGCTGCGCAGGTGCTCTTGTGCACTTTACCCTCCATGTCCTCGCATGTGTCTTCTTGCGCAAATGAGGCTGACGATCTTTAGGGAAGAACCCTTCACAATGCTTTCGTGGAAAGCAATGCTCAAGCAAGTGTTGGGAGAGGGTCTGGCTCCCTCAAACCGCCCGCAGCCGAAACGGATACGAAAGGAAACCGGAGGACAGGAACCAGCTTCAAGAACCTGGATCCTCTTTTCGCAGTCTCGCATACGCGCGGCATACGTGTGTGGCATAAGCTTCAAGTGAAGCGCGCCGCATGTTTCAACCTCAAGATATGTTTGATATATATAACTTATAACCCTATGAAAAGGGGTCATTGTACGTCTCCTTCACTCGTTTCCACTGAATCTGCAACTTGACGGTCCAGAAACGGAAATGGAAAATGCCTTTGAGAGGGAAATCAAAGGGGAACCACCCATGAAAAAAAAGCGCATGGGAGAGACCCGCCGACAACTGCTTTCTCAGCCATGTCCAAAAATCAGCGGTGTCCAAAAAGCACTGGTTGGGGGGCTGGTTGTTGCGGCTTGTTTGACTATCTGTCCTTCATCCGGCCGGTCTTTCGCTTACAGTCAAGGAAGCGATTCTTGTTCATGCCACGTGTGCCCAGGGGTTCCCTTTGCGCGCTTCTGCTAAACGCACCCCCCCCCCCCCAAGCGGTTTCCTCAAAAAAGACCTGACTGGCCTGGCGTTTATGTTGGGGGGGCCAAAGGAAAGCTCTCCATGGGCGCTTCACCTGCCGTGCAAGCTCCCGCAATTCTGCGAAGGAGCTCCTGATTTTGCGTTGGCAACATTGACCCAGAACGCGATTGCCAAGCCGTGCCTCAAGGTCAAAGACATAGACAATATGGCGTGGACCCCAACCCGCAACGACCAGCTGCAACATCAGTGGCAAACACTCATGAGACAAAACCACACTGACTGGAGAAAGTAGATGGCACAACCTTCCAATTCAGGGTCTTGGCAGCTTCTTTACTTTCGGACATAAGAGGAGATGGCTCTATCTACTTTCACGAAAGTGTAGATTGCTTAGCTGAACTTCGAAGCCCGAGCCCTGCAACAGCCAAGTTAGAGCCTCGTCTTGATTACATGTGCGGAACGGCATGCTGTGTGAAAGACACATGTCAAATGTGGACATGTGTCAGCTGGGGCTCCAAACAGGCGGGTTTCCCGTTGGTTTCCCTTTGAACCAACCTGAAGGTGCCGAGCCTCCAGAGAAACGGGCTCAAGATGCACCATGCCTGGCTGCCTCAATTCCACCCCAACTCCCAATGTTTCAAGGGGAGTGTCTGGGGAAAATGAGTCAGGGAACTTTATCCATAGTTCCTTTCCAGGGACTGGGGAACTGAGACTCAAACCCAAGGGGCCCACACTTTGGCATCGGCTCTCATGGCCACGCTGCTGGGACTGATTCCGTGACCCCGATCTGATCGATCGCGGAGTTCATGGGATGGCAGGAAAACCAAACGACGAAAGAGGGGACCAACATATATACTAACCAGGATGGCACACTTTCCATCAACCTTCCGTTTGAAGTGCCCAAAATGTATTAGCCCTCTTTGAGATATGTAAGGGAATTGATTGAGATAGCAAGACTGCCGAACTGCTACGTCGAAATCTAGCATACATACTACTACCACAACAAACAGTAGCCCAATATGTGCTTGACTGATCTTGGTGTCTAACATGTAATAGACAAGTAAAAGCTAAATAATGACATTACTGAAAGAAGGCGATGGGGAACCACACAAAAAGCGCGCGCGCACACACACAACAAGCAGACCCACATTGTACACACACAGAGATCCGCAGGTATCACAAACCGGTGCCCCCGAATCCTGCTGCGAGCAAAATACACAACTTGCTTCCCCAAGCCCACATGGGGAAAACTGGTTGGTGCGCCTAGTTTCTGGGGGATTGTCGCTCCCGTGTCCTGCCTGAATTCCCAATCAAATACACGAGACCACAAACATTTACACAACAAACATATCGTCAGTGACACATACGAGTGTTTGTTTGAGGGTACCAGCAGAAAGGCAACAATCTTGGGGTACCCTAGTGTCATTGCTTTGGCATTCCTGGACACTCAGCTTCGTGCGCTTGGCTCAGATAGCCATGCGCTGCTGAGAAGAGGCGGACCTGAGATTGGGCCTCAGAAGTCTTTGCTTGAGGGGTCGGTCTATTCGGTAAGTGCCTGCAGCCTACTGTTAGTGACCCTGGGTTCTAATGGCTTCCTATACCCACATGACTCACCTGATTGTCCTTGGACGCAAGCGATCGGAACCCCTTTAGTAGAATTCGTCAAGCCCAAGTCCCCTGATTACTCACAGAAGGGCTGACTCCACTTGTGGGGGACATTTAGAGCTGAATGTCCCCCCTTCCGAGGCCCAATATGTTGCAACATTGTGTGTGGGGAGGTGGCAGCAGCGCTTCTCGTTGGGGAACTTGCTATACGTGTGTCTTGTCCGCGCACTTGCAATATTTATCGGGCTTCAACTGTAAGAGCCGGCCACAGTATGACTGAGTATCCAGTTCGGCCAAAGGAATAGCTGTTGTTGTGGACGCACCGTGTCAACTGCTGGACCCTTCATCAATTGATTGAAGCCCAAGACCAACCCAAAACGAAGCAACCATGTTGAAGGAAGTCTATTCTTGGGGGTACCTGTGCCAAACAAAATTCAACTCCGGTCTCGATACGCATGCCTGAGGCATAAAGCACGAGCGCAAACCCGCTCCCAAGACCTCCCTCCTTGCCTGCCGCCTTGTTTCACCTTCGCCCAGATACAGGGCGATAAACAGCTGCCATCTGTTTTGGTGCTTGATTTCAAAGAAACACTCTGTCCAAAAAGATTGAGGAAAGGAAGCAAGCCACTGGGTGTCTGGGTGAGAGGCCCGTACCATGGGCAGAGAGGATCTTTTGGGGGTTGGTGCGAAAGAAAGGACACCCTACCGCCAAAGTGAAAGCGCCTTGGGGCTGGCAGGCTGGCAAGCCTGAAGCAAGCATCATTGTAGTTGTAGGCGAGGGAAAGCACTTGACTGATTTGGCCATGGGGCAGAACCTATGGCTCCATTTTGGGATAGATGAACATCCTATTTTGATCTTCAGCAGGGGTACAGGGTTTTGACCCACAGCCATTTCTCGTTCTTGAATTGATGCAAACGTAGGCCTGGAGTGAGAAGCTTCCCGTAGTGGCCAGGCGGACTGGGAAACTGGAGCCCGGAAAATGGCAACGCCACGCGGGCACCCGCGAAGCCCGGTCTTGGCTGACTTGGCGGTTTGCGAAGTTGCACAATGCTGTGCTTCGCCTTGTCTTGCAAGGGGACAGGGTATACAGTACTCTGAGTCTGGCGGGCCACAAGCCACAACAAAATCCCTTCGGCGCCCTCTGAATGCAGGTGCCAAAAGTAGTAACATGCAATAAACAAGTAGCAGCTATTTCATGTTTCAGAGAAGATGCATGGATCTTTCGTAGGCGCAAGCTTTGCCGAAAAACGCTGCCACGCAAACAACTGAACAGGTCAACCGATCAAGCAAATGCGTAATCAGCTCGCCAACTACCCAAAGCAATGACAAAACGAAACAATCGACACACCAACCAACCAACCAACCAACCAACCAACCAGCAAGCAAGCAAGCAAGCAAGCAAGCAAGCAAGCAAGCAAGCAAGCAAGCAAGCAAGCAATCAAACAATTACACAACCAAACGAACGAACAAACAAATAAACCAAACAAACCAAACCAAACCAAAACAAACAAACAGATCAACCAACACCACCCAACCAACCTTACAGGATACACCTTGGCCAAATACAAAACCGCCTTTCCTGGCTCGTTCAAGGGTTGTGTACATGTACCATGTGATTTTTAGATGCATCCTTTAAGGGACTCCGTGTTTCCTGGATTGTTTAAAGGCAAACGCAAAGGGAAGCCACCATAAACAGTTGCTCCCTTATTTTGACACATACCCGTGTTTGTGTGATTGCCTGCCTGTTTGGTTCGTTGGTTGCTTGCTTGATTGCTTAAAAACGCGCACACACACACACCGAAAAGCAACAACACATGAGCCGCAGTGACGCTGAACTGAGCCCCCGAACCCATGGTGGTGGTCGGAACACCTGTCGCGCCAACTGGGGTTTCTGGCTCCCGAACTGACCATGGACTGGTCTTGAAGAGTTTAGAACAAGCCTCAAACATGAAGGGGACGCTCCTATTTGTGTTGTTTTGTTTTTCTTTGGGGGCGGGGGTTCGGCCCATTTCCCCACAGGATAGGCCCCCTGTGTCCATGCGCGGGTTGGCGATGCGCTCCAAACACTTTCACCAACACAGCTAAAAATGGCCGCTCTCCGAATCCCAAACGAGTTTTCCTAAGCAAATTGCCCCGCAAACAAAGCAAAACCGGGCCCCGCAAAGGAGCAAAGCATGTGAATCTGGAAGCATCCCCCAAACTGGGCGAGTGAACATCTGAATCAGGCCCGTCAATGCAACCTCACCTGCCCCAAGGACCAGAACATAGCACCTTACTTGCACCAGGGTGAAAGCTCTCTTGTGGGTAAGCCAACAACATAACGAGACCGTGGCGGATATGTATCCTTCACCCAATTGTAAGGGTTTGTGACCTACGCTGGTCCCAAAAGGGAAGCCAAGGTGGAAGGTTCGGCTTTTTGATGAGCCGCACAAGTGGTGCCACAGGGCAATTCGGGGGGTCTCAGCCCGAGTCGTGTTTTGCTCACGTAGAAACGGTAGCGCAACAGGCACATCGAGAAAATTTGTGTGAAAAATAAAAAGACTGAGAACATACAAAATCCCGCACAGTATCCCCGAGGGTTGGACACTTGTGGATCTGGGACGGGAATGCCTGGTCATATCTACCAAAGCCCAAAATTGTCCCTCGCCCCCCCGTTGCAGCTTAGTTGTTGTTGCCCTTCAGTCGTTACACATGTCAGGCATAAGATCTCATTGATCGCGTGCATCCAAGAAAAAAGTTAAACAGAATTAGGGCACCATTCTTGCCCCCTCCACGCATGTTTTCGCGTGCACCGACAAAGATAACATGGCGGGGCAGGGGTGCTCTCACCAAATAGGACCTGGCAAAAACAGAGTATCGCGAGGGGCAAACTAGCCATTGTTTCAACCACTTCCTGTTGGTGTGCAACTTTACATGATCAGACAGGCATGCTTGTTCAAACCGACTCAGTGACTTTCTTTTTTGCCCAGCCTCGGGGCGACGGGTGGGCGCCTTAGTGCAAAATAAGCCCAGGGTCATATGGTCATGGCTATGCCCTAGCTGTGTGGGAGACAATTTTGAGACCACGCATCTCATGTTTCCTGATTTCTGAATCGGCAAGGTTGAGCCGAGCCAAGCACAGACGGGGATTTTGGTGGGTTGAATCTCTTGAATTCCGCCCGTCAAACATGAGCTCAGGAGCCTTCCTTTACATGCACCTGATTATATTGGTGATGCCCCATGAACAAGAGAGTTAAATCTCAGTTAATTGTTAATGTAAGTCATAACACACCAGAAAGTAAGCCCCTCCTTGCACTAGTTGGGGTCCGCCTCAAAGTTGTTTCATTGTTTCAGGAAATTCTGATCAGCTGGCGTGAAGCACTGGTTGAAAGGTATGAAGGAGTGCATTGTATGCTGGGATGTATCATATTGAAAACTTGATAGTCTTGAACTGAATTATTGCGCATCAACAGGCTTGTGTTTCCCATTTGGTCTCATTATATCGGCCTTTGCCCGGTTTGAAGCAAGCAAGCATTTATCATTTATCATGGCGTTATTACGGGGTTCTTCAGGGAGGGGGGTGTAAGGGTGCTCCCTAGTCCACCCCCACTTACCCCCTCGTACATCCCCCCCCTTAAGAACTGCATAAATTTATCCATCTCGAGGTAAAGAGAAGCTGACGGCTTTGGCCATCTACTGCCAGGTCAGATCCGTCTGAGTGCTAGAAAGGCGCGGGTCTCAAAAAGTGGGACATCAAAAAGCAGTTGGTCTCCTGTTGGCTTCCCTTCCATTTGCTTAAGCCCACTGGAAAAATACAAGATATTTCCAGTAGTGATAGATTCCCTTTAAGACTCAGAAAAGGGGGAAAAAACAAAACCGCACATTCTTAAGCAAATGGATGCTTAGAAGGCGTAGCCGCTCAGGACATCCCATGTGCCATTTGGCTGCCATTTGGAGCTTGACCATGAGCGAGGAATCTACTAAACAAAGGGAAGTTGAGGGTGTCCCTGTGCAGTGAACAAGCAGAACTGGGCGGGTGGAATATATTTTTTTCGCCAAAGGTGCGCCATTCTCAGCCCCCCACATTGTGTGGTGCAAGGTGCCTGCCAGAGTTGGTCCGAAAGCTGCTTCCTGATTGTTCCCTTCACAAAACGCAATTGCAAATCTCCGCATTATCAATGTTCTGCAGGTTGGGTCACATTCAATGAGCTCGGAGCAGCCCTTCAGGAATCTGGAGAAGACAGCTTGTCACGCAGAAAGGTCGTCACCTTTTTCCCAGGGTTTGGTTGCAAGTGAGCAGTCAACTGGCTGCCCGGGTCCAAATGGGTTGATGTCCAAACAGCGAAAATAATTACGATTTACGCATCGAAAACACACAAAGAACCCGAGGAAGCAACTTGCAGAGGCGAACTCTTCTTTCCTTCCCGTTGTGACGTCTGTAACTCACCACCTAATCTTGATGGAGTGTGCGCTTCGCCCAAACATTTGTTCCTTTTTCAAATGGGGCGGCTTGGGGATCTCGGGGAAGGATTGTAGATCTGGCCGGAACATGTTAACAGTTGCCGTCGCAACCCACACCATTTCGCCGCCAGCTAATTGGCGGATCCCATTGCGTGGAGCAACACGAGCTGGGCCAACGCCCTTGCGGATGTTTACAGTTACTTTGTTGGAAATGCGCATCCCTACCCTTCTGCACGGTCTTTCTAACCTCGCGCCCATCGAAAACTGACCCGAGTTGAGCAGCTTACACTTGGCCTTTGGTCTGATGTTCCTTGTGCTTTGACTAGCCTCTTCGAAATCCCGGGGGCTTGATCGCAATCTGAAATCCGACTATCCCTTGTTGCCTTGTTGCGGCTGCCAATCTTCATATGCCGTGATCCGCCCTGCAAACTTTGAGTCAAAACTGTATGGAGTTGGAGCATGGGAAATCCGTGCAACCAATAATCCGCACAATCCGCAATCCGCATAATGTAATGCGCAAACCGCATAATCCGTATTACGCCAATCATTGTTGGATGTGGTTTTGAACAAGCTAGTCCGACGATACACAATTTGCAGATGAGTCAACTCAGCTTCGCGAAGGAGTCAGGCAAAAAATACTTGTTCCCTCAAGATGCGCGATTTAGCGGCCTACAAACCCCACCGGGTGAAAGTTGGCGCCATCCCGTTCACCGAACTCAGACCTGGGACCTTCCGCCCAGCCTGACGTGCCGGCACGGTGCAGCTTTGGGGAAACTGGCACGCGAGCGACCAAGCAGAAGATCTGGGGCCCAGATTCAAATGGGCTTGGGTCTCCCTTCTCCCTTCCCCAGCAACAAGGGTGCGCTCAAATCAAACCAAAGGGCACCCTCGAAGGGTCGAAATCCCTTGCCAGGTGCTTGGGCCCTTTTGGGGGAGGGCGTTTGCATCTGAGCCTCGAGGAAACTAGCCAATGGGCACACCGCGTTTGGACCCCAAAACTGGAGGGGACACAAGCAAAGCCTTGTGACATTCTTCTGACGTTGAAAGAATGCCTTTGGGTTGGCATCGAAGCTGCCAGGAGAAAGGGTAGTGCTTCTATGCCAAGATAAGCCCAGGATAAGCCCAAGAAAAGCTGTTGGGGAGGCTGTATTGAGGGTTAATAAGGCCATGCCATAGACCCCCATTCAGGCTGACTATAGGCACACAAGCCATAATTTGCAACGCTTCACGAGGCAAACATTGTGGCCGTCCCAGCATTCCAACCAAACCAAATAGGGTGTCTCAGGCACCCTCTTTGCATTTTGAAGGGAAGCCACTTGGAAACCATCCGTTTTAGCTTTAGTTGTAGCTTTTGTTTAAAGGGGGGTCTACCATAGTCAACAAGCTACATTGATTTCCATGCTTAAGCTGCGCCAGGGCAAGTCTACCAAATGGCCCTGGGATTTCGCGAGAAATTTGAGGGCCCGAGTAACTCCTGATGCATTTGGGGCGTTGGACCCTCAGGGTAAGGACATTCCAAAAGTTTGTCCAATCTCCATTCAATCGGAGCCCTGTACTGGTGAACGTGCCTTGTCTTAGGGCACGCACCTCCTGTTGCTGCGTCTTCTCGGGCTCCTCTGCCTTTCTCGGTTTGGCCTCCTGCTTGGCCTTCCGCTCTGCGGGCTCAATCTTCTCCAGCGCTGCCCGCTGTCGTTGCTGCTCTTTCTGCGCCCGCTGACGTTCCCAGGACGCAAGTTGCATCTCTTTGTTCTCTTCCCTTCAGCAGTCGTTTCAACAATGTGACGGCCGACGCAATTGGTGGGGGTCGGCAAAGACTGAAATGGCGTGGAGCAAGAAAGAAGGAGAAAGGGAAGAAGGGAAGAAATTAAGAAAGGACTATGTTCCGGAACTTTGGTTCAGTTCGGCGCGGCACGATGCCACCGCAATCGGTTCGATACGATACGGTAACGGTTCGACACGGTTCTTTGCCGAGCTGCGTTTCTTAGCGCCGTATCCTGTTCAACATTATAATCTTATCACAACCCCTCTTGCCAGGAGAACCTGGTGTAGTAGTAGCACGCCAGCTCTGCACATCAGGAGTTATAAGTGCAACTCCAGCTGCGTACTCAACTATGGTAACAAGGTGACTCTATGAGGCCTTGCCTGCTCAGGAACGAGCAAGAAAAACCGAACCCCATCGCAAACGAGAAGCAACCGGCAGTGAATCGAACCGTTTCGCACCGAAACAATTTCAATTCCAAGCAATATGAATCGATTTGAACCGAAAGAACATGAATCGTATCGCATCGAGTGCGTTACAACCATGTTCATCGCGTTTAGAACATTCCAAACCAAGAGGCATTCAAACCAGCACGGCCAGCTCGCATGTGGTGCTGCAGGGATGCAAGAGCGCGGGTTCGGAATGGCCATCTGCTCCCGACTTCCTGGCAGCCCTTGACTTGCCTCAGAGCCTTGGTCCAAGTTCAAGCCTAAGCCCAGGAATTGTCAAAACAAATCCGTGTTCCTGAGTTAAGGACAAAGTCAAAGATGTAAGATGGTCCCGAATGTTGACCCAGGCTATGCCCTTCTATGGCCTTAGGATGGTTGGGCTTTTGGTAGCAGAGGGGATCTGAAATACATGAGCGGATATAAGCCCGCGTGTGGAAGGTACTGCCAACCGACATGGGAGAACAAGGTACTAACCACTTGAGTGGCTCTGACCAAATTGTGTGAGAGGCAACTCGTTCCTCATGGCAACTTGGAGTGAGAAATTCAAGGCTTGCCCTTCAAGCCCTTGGCTGAAAAGACAAACATGCCCCGGAAAAGGAAAAACAAACAACAAAAAGCACGGTCCCATCCGAAGCGACAATAGTGGGAAGTGGACATATCTTGGCAGGGTGCACAGTGTATTGATAGTCGAAAGCCCCAAGAACTGAATTGTCCAGAGGACCTGGAAATAACAGAGGATGACCCGCTTGGAACTTTGAGTCCAACATGGGAAAGACAATGTAAATGGTAGAATGTCACCAACACCTCGCGCCACAAAGGAACGACATTTAGAACAACTTGAACATCTTGGTAAATTTCTCAATCTGAAGCCAGGTCAAAAAGGAGCCGGGGGTTTCCCAAGAAGGACAACCCTGGGTAGACCACCAAGGTCCTCCAGAGAGGTTAGAATAAGGATACCCTTTTTTCGGTTGTCTATTTTAGTAGGGGAACCCTCCCAACCAAAAAAGAAACGGTGAGAACGGGCACTGGGGGACCTAGCCACATGCTTAGGCCGGGTCCCCTGTGCCGCGCCTGGCCCGGTGCGCCTGCCGTGCATCTTTAGCGCGGCGGCGGGGCAACTGGAAGCACCCCAGAAGCGAATGTGGGTGCCAGCACCCGGCTCCCAACTGCCTTTTGGACACTTGGATTTTGCAAATGGGAGAAAGCAGTTGGGGGGTACTGGTGGGTGTGCGCTTATTTGCCAGGTCCCCTTATGGTGAGTAACGATCAGATAGCACACAGGAAACCAATAGGTACAGTTGGCACACATTTGGAGGCTTGCCTCCAAGTTGTGTTGGCCACAATTGGGGGTCCACGCAGTTTGAAGGCAAACCAAAAGGACAAACACACCAGTTTTGGGGTCCCCCCATTTTTACACACACACACAGATGGAACCTGAAGGCCCCTGGAAGACAAGATTGAGACCCCCTCAAGGAGGTTCCATGTCTGTTTGTGGGAGCGTAAAATAAACAATTGCACAAGTCATGTTGAAAAGCCCTTTAAATTGGCAGGTCTTCCAAAGCATAATTAACCAACACCAATTCCTGTAAATTCACCAACCTGGATTTGCGAGTTGTCCAACTCTTTTTTTTTCAGGGGACCTCTGTCCTATGGAAGTGAACAGCTGGCGAACTCCGAACAAACTCCGGTCAGCTTCATTTGCGGGTTGCTTTTTGACAGAGTCCTAAAACTGATGGCTTGGGGGTTCCTTCTGTTTGGTTTTTGTTGAAGATACGTTTTTACCAGCACCCCCACCAACAGCTTTTTCCCGTGTCATCCCCCCCAGACGGCTAGCTGAAGGATTATTGAGCCTTAAGCTGGCTCTGTAAAGCCACGATTGGGTGAGGCAGGCTCTGGAGGGCGGTGTGGGGTGCGTGGCTTGACGTGCCCTGATACAAGCGAAGCCAAAAAAACTCACCGGGGGTCAAAGTGGGCGTCTTTCTGTGACAACTGGTTGATTTTCTGATCCATCCACTACGTCGCCGTAAGGTATTCCGTATCACAGAAACTGGCAGCCAAAAACTACACTTTCGCAAAATCATGCACAGACAGGTTATATACCCAACCGCGGGAATAAAGCCAGTGGCCATTGGGGGAGCGTCCTCCTGACTGAAAAGAACTCGATCGAAGCCGGCCTGGCGCTGCATACATCTGCCTAGTGCGCAGAGGGTGAACCGCCATTCCTCACTTCCTGAGTGGATGGTCCAAACAAAGTCTGAACTTTTTGTTGGCCACTAAAATGGTCCAAACCCAAAAAGTATTAAGTGCAGGGACTCGGGAAGTGAGATTCAACATATATTGAAAGTGATCCCGACTAAGAGCTCCGATCGTAAAGGCAGAAATTCGAGAAGTGGGACATTCCTGCGGACCGCGCCGCGAGAGCCCCCGGAGTGGACTGGTCATATTGACCAAAGTTCAAACTTTTTTCTTGCCACCAAAATGGTCTTCCCAAAACAAATGAGGTTTAGAAACTCGGGGGAGGGAGGTGGGGGGAGAAACACTGCTCATGAGGCTCAAAGCAACCCTCCCTCAGTTTCAAGGGAGATAACAAGCTCATTGGGAGACACTGGGAGACACTGGGTGACGAAGAATTCACCAACCTTGCGGAGGGAACCTTCACGCTTTTTTTTGCTGCAAAGCATACCTTCGTGTGAGTTCAGTGCCGTCCCATGCAGCCCGGGTACTGCGGCGCGTAGGAGTAGCGCTGCTGCGTCGTATGGTAGCCCTGCGAATGCACGGCGGCGGCACGAGATCCAAACCTTTCCGTGTTCCCCCAAATCAGGAGCCGAATGTTTGGGAGGAAACCAGGGGGAGGAGAAGGGTTCTGTAAGAACAGGCAAGAAACGCCATGAACCTGTGGAGGCGTATTGCACATGGTCGTGGAAGGTATCCTTCTCTGTGATACCAATGGAATTGTCGTCCTTGTATCTTTATCACTTCAACAAACAATTCACCAAGTATCACAGAAAATTGGACATACCTCACATTACCGAAATCAGAGTCCAGCAAGAAAGGCACCTCCAGCATGAGCTCGCACAGCCCGAAGCCATGGTCAAAAAGTCAATCCCCACCAAAAGAGACGGGCATGGCCAAATAGCCTCCCAACGAGCCCAGCGGAATTGAAACACCATGGCTCTATGGTTCACTCAAGCGGCCTGTGTGTTTGTTGGACAACACAACCAACTCACGCACGTCAGGCCCAGGATTGAATTGCGAACAAAGTGTTGGATACGTGCCATTCGCGCACCATGTGGATAGAAGAAACATTGCCACAATGCCCAAAAACCCATTCCCACGTGTTGTAATGCCTTCCTAGCCCAGTGGCCAGCGGGAAAAGGGAGTCCTTCTTTCGCCAAGTACTTTGGAAGCGGCACCCACATAAAGAACATGCGCCGAACTGAGAACATTTTGACCCAGGAAGAGTTGACCCCCGGTTGGTGAAAAGGGATGTCCCATTTTGGACGGGGATCGAGGAGACACCCCCCGTGTGGGAGGTCTGCAAGTTCTCCGATGGGACCAGGCAAGAAGGCTTCGGGCATCCCTTTGAAACACATCAATCTGCGATTTGCCTGTGGATTTCCAGAAAGTGACACCTGAACACGGGATCAGTCCGGAAGGACACCTCCAGGCCTCCAGGCAAGGACCCTTCTAATTTATGGCACCTCGTTTTACCCTCTTTTCCCGAATCGGTGAGCTGGTTCAAAGCTGCCCAAATAAATACCTCAAAACTCTGAAGCGCTTCAAAGTCTGAGGAACCACCTTGACATGGCTTGGTCAAGTCACCCCGAAAGCTAGGATCTAAGTATGTTCTCGTGCTCATTCGAGCCAAGGACCAAAAATGGAAGGCCCAAACCTTGCCCACGGACACCACGCGGCTGGGTTCGAATGACACCGGACTCCGCTTCGCCTGAAGCTGCCCACGCGGGGAGGACTCATTCACTGCGGAGGTCTCCACCTGCGAAGACACTTCCGCTTGACGACCGGGGAGATCTCCGCTTGAAATCCCCGTCCCATGGAAATAGGAACCCCAAGTGCAAATAGAAACAGGTTCCATAGGTTCCATAGCTTCAATAGCCCCAAGGAACCTTGATGCCAAATCGGTTGCAAAGCACATGATTAGACTTAGGCCCAGTTGTAGAATGTATACTCTATTGTTTGCTTCCCTTTGAGCCACTGGTCAATGTAACATGTATCCTGAGTCTACCCCAGAAAAAAAGAAAAGAACAACAGGAACCCCAATTGCAACCAGTTTGAAGTTTGACCCGTCCCACTCTCCGGCATTGGTCGTGAGTCACAGAGATGAGCCTGCTGAGTTAGGGCATCCAAACCCGTTGGGCTGCTCCCTGTTGTGGGCCCCGGTAGCCACTTGGCATCTGGTTGGATTGACCGTTCTACCCCAAACAAAAAGAAACAACTCTGATTTTCCAACTGACAAGCTGCGGGGTACAGGATGAAGAGACTAAATGGCGGGTGACGTAAGTTCACGACCCCAAGCAAACCAGCAGGCTAATGTGCATACCTTGGGTTGGCCAACCCAAAAGATAGAATGTGGATTCAGTTCGTGGACGATGTACGTTTTGGGTACAAACAACAGTTCGTGGGAACAAACAGCTCGGGTCCCTTCCGACAAACGCGCTGAAGAAACATGTGTCAAAACGAGATCGGAAACGAAACGTCTCGAACTGGTTGGTTGTGCATGCATCCTCGCACTTTATGTAGGAAACGTGCGTAAGCTCTTGACCGGTTTGAAGTGTGCAACAAAATCCCCAAACATGACCATACTTTGATAGTGTGACACAGCCGACTGCGGAGTCAGGCAATTCACAAACCTTGAAATGTGTTGAACAAGCCCTGGCACGGTGACCCTTCACACGAAGATTTGGAGCCCTTCTCGGATAAGGGCCATCGAGGAGCTTTGTCCGCGGCTTTGTGCTAAGCCTTGGGAACCCAAGTGAGCCTCCTCCCCCGATCCTGAACCCGAACCCCCCAGACAACACGACGCAGAGGGGCCTCCACCACGCGCTCGATGTAGTCCATGCTCACCTTTGGCACCTGCTTCACCACCTGGCCGTTCTTGCATCGGTCGACTTAGAGTCCATTCCATTGGGAAAAACGGGCCCTTTTTGGGGTACCTTCCGCTGGCCACGCGACACAAAGGGTACCCTTTTGTTGGTGCTTGTGTATTTGGCTTGAAGGGAAAGCCCCTCCCAAAAGAGCTGGGACAGAACTTCCGGGTCCTTTTAATACAATTTTCCTCTAACTGGGACCATTCCTCTGGAAGGTTCCATGTTAGATGGGAGGGTAAGCTGTGAGGGAAACCTGCCGGTCTATGACATTTGTGTAAATGTCGCAAAGAATCAGTTGGATCACTCTCGTGTTGTTTGAGTACGGCAATTAGACCCCTTTTAAACCAAGCCCAACCCATGCGCTCGATGGCTGGTGCGGGAAATCTGTTCATCAAGCAACTCCTACCTAGACCTAGGACAAAGCAAGCCCATACGCAGCTTGGTAAAATAGATTGAACGAGGGACAACTATTGATATGATATATTTTTATATATGTGTGTTTTCCAGTCTTCACAGGGTGAACAGGGTGGGAGTCTGGAACCGGAGCTGCCGGGCAACGGTACTGGACGGCATCCCAGCATTGCCAGCATCGCCAGCGTCATCCCCATGATGCCGATGATGCGGGGGAGGGGGGGACCCTACCCTGGGGGTGGGTGGGGGGGGGGGTTGGCGGCCTGGGGACTGGAACATATATGTATACGCATACAACTATGTATCTAGGTATACATGAATAACTTGTGCATACACATATCTTCACCTGGACATAGCAGGCTACCATGTCTTTGCCGCACACCAGCCCTTGCACATGTTGCCACATGCTATAAATTGACTTCTTCGCTTCTTCTCCAAAGCGGCAGCTGCTGGCTGCGCCGCTGTTTCGCATTTGCGCGAAGATCGGACAAATGGCGCACGGACTCGTCATTGCAATGGTCCGGTGATCTTCTTCTTCACTGATTTGCCACTAAAACGGTCTTGCTAAAAGGTATGAAGTCCAAGAAATCAGGGAGAAGCTCGAGAAAACACACAATAACAACATGGGCTCGTGTCCACGAATCTCCAACCCTTGCGTTCAACACGCTGACCAAACTCTAGAACAGGGTTTCCTGTATTCGCCTCACAAAGGAAACTCACCTTAGGGCCGAAAAGATGGGATTTTGAAGTCACCAGGGGAAACATGGGTACCTCTCTATCCAGGGAACCTTTGCGAGGCTGTTAAGAGAGAAACGCAAGACCACAAACCCAACGCCGGGGCGCTGGGCTATACTCGTCTCAGGTGTGTGCAAATACCCGTACCATGAAGAATGCCAACAACAAGACAAGGGCTCGAAAGGCAGCAACGTGAAAAGACAGAGGTTCAGCTTCGTCTCCCTTACCCATCCTTCTTAACCAAGAACAAGTTGTAGACAACGGTTTTTGGGCGTTGGCTTTCCTGTGGCACTGAGAGAAATTTGTTTGTGGATATTCTACATATTGCAAGTAAACCGCACATCTGGTTGCATCATGGTTCACCAACCCACTAACCTGAAATGAGGAACCACTAAGAAAGAACCCTTCATGGCTAAGGTCGCAACCTTTGTGAGGTGGCCAAGTTCGGAGACAAGGCCATGGGAAATTGCAGGGCTTTCCCTGATCGCTTTGTTTGCCGTGATGCCTAGAGACAAAATTTAAGGCTGACGGTTTCGGCCTAGGGTTCACGTTTTCTGTCCAAGGCTTAAGTCTCAGTTTAAGGTTTAGGGCTCGTAGGTTTGATGAGGGTTCATGGTTTACGGCGTTCGCCACGCGAGGCAGGGCGAAGAACGAAACTCTTTCGCGGGGGAGTGGCCTGCCTCCTGGTACACCGGAGCCAGTTCCTCCCTGACCACTTCCACAATATTGGCCTGCCAGGTGTGCGGGTTCAAAGCTAAAACCAAAGGAATCTCCGAGGAAAGGAATGGAAGAACCGTTTTAGCCGTGTTGTTGAAATCCTATCTGTAGGGGGCTCTGCCTGAATTTCAGGGATGGTGAACAAAGCCTATTCACTCCTTAAAGTGGGCCCTTAAAGGTAAAACAACTGCCTGGCGCTACTGTTGGCCGACCGGTGGAGAACCTGTTGTTTTGACCAGGACCGTCTGCAACCCACACAAACCCAATTCCCCATCGCCACGGGAAAGTGGGGGGGGGGCGCTCTTTTTTGTTTGCGTTTGTTAAAAGGGGAACTCCCCCTCCAAAAGGAACAACTGGAGGTCTGGTTGCAAAAAGCTGTCAGGCCCCAGGCCCCCGGCCTGAGGAAGCTCAATGGCCTGCTCTTCCACCAGCACCTGGCAAGCACTCTCCATGGAACCCTACCCCTCCAGTCGTAATGGGGAGCAAGTCACTCACTTTTCTTTGGGAATAGAGTGTGAGTAACAATCAGTTCGCAGCCCAACCAATAGGTACAGTTGCAAATTTGCAGATTTCCCAGGACATGGGCCACGATTGGGGGTCCGTGTGCTAACTGATAGTTACTCACCATTGACTTTTTGGGGGCAAGCCCTTGGACATTGACAAGCCCTGCCTGCGGTACGTGCACGACTCTCTCCTGCACCTGCCGAAGGCCATCCACGAATGCTGCGGCTGCGGCTGCTGTGAGTTTCCCGCTACAGTGACCCAGGAAGAATACAGCTCGAGTCCTGTGAGCCTTCCACGGGGGAAAAAAACACCTGGCCCTTCAATGAAACATCCAAGCCAGCACCCCCACCAACCACTGCCTTTTGGACAGTTCGCATTTTGGACATAGCTGAAAAAGCTTGGGGGGGTACTGGGATGAGGCTGTTTCAACATGTAACGGAAAGGCCCCACCGTCCAACCCTGGCTTAGGATCGACCTAAGCAAATGAAGGAACTGGCAAAAAGCAAAAGCTCCAAAAGCCTGTTGCCAAGGGTCAATGGCAAGGGAAAACCGCAAAACAAGCCATTCTGCTCAATGCTCGCTTTGTTGCGAATCTGAACATGTAAGCGCCCCAAAAACCTACTGGCTGTTGGTTCCTCTGTTGCAAGCGCTTGTAGAGAATTTGCTAGGACCCAAGGAAAGAATCTAGAACCACCAATGGCCCAATCCTGAAACGATGGGCCATTGTTTCTCAACCCAACCCCTGGCCAGGGCAAGTGGACCAGTTGGTTCGACCGTGCAGCTTCGAACCACATGGTAGCTTGTTCACATGGCTTTCTTTGTTTTGAAGGAAAGCCAAAATAACTCTTGCCCATTGGAAAGTATATTCGTTGGGTTTGTCTCAAAAGAGGGGGACCCCCCCCCCCAAAAAAATGGGCCCGGCTTCTCTTCGGTGTTCCATTGACATCCCATCGTCAAGGACTTCCGAGTGCTAGGGGCAGAGAAACACACAACTTCCCATCCAAATGTGCCTCTACATTTCGTTTCTTCCTCGCGGAGTGAGAGTTGGGACGTTCAGTTGCTAACCCCGCTTTTCTCATATATATATATATATATATAATCCAATGGCAAGCGGCCGAGTGACCCGAGTCGGGTAGCCGCGTCGCCAAGTTCTTATACCCCCATCTCAAGGTCTTTGCTGTCGCCAATTTCATTCTCTATGCCCCACGAAAAGGAAGATGGAACTATTGGATGATGTTGCTATGGTTCAGAACCCCGGGTTCGGGGGTTAAAACCACGCAAAAAGGGAAGTAAAGGGAGTGGTTGACCCAGAAGCTTCTCTGCTCCAACAAAAGAAGAGTTAGAAACCAAGGCAGCAACTCACTGGTTTCTGGGATGACTCTCAGTCAGCTCGCCCCCCCCCGACTCACCCCATTTCCAAAAACCACCTTTGCAAGTGTACCCTCCAAATCACGCTGTTCGAACACCTCAGAGCCTAACAAAGGTTTCCTCAAGTCAGAAGTGACCTTCTCTGGGCTGTTCTTGCTGCTGTAGGGATTGCGGGAATGAACCCAGGGATTCCCAAGTGGAACCCACCAGTCAGATGGCTAAGGGTCATTCCACTTCTCATTCCCTGCTGGGGGGGATCCGGGGCATCGGCCTGGGTGGAGATCTTGGGCACCACCCGGTCCCTGGGCTCGAACTTGGGCTTCAGCACCTGAAAAGAGATCGGTTTTCCGGTATGCGGCATGTTAGATGGGAAGAACCCCGCATGGTTCAAACAGTTTGTATGCGGGATGTTAGATGGGACTAACCCCCAAATGGTTTAAGCAGCTTGTTTTGGGCGCCAGAATTCATTAAACCCCCGTTAAATCGGAATATATATATAAACCTATTTGCGTCAAAAACGCGTGGACTCCCTCATGTTTGGGTGGATGTCCTTTTGGCTTCCCTTGAAACATCCAAAAAAGGAGACACTTAAAAAAACACGTCCTGTTCTTGCTGGGTCGGTAGGGAATCCACAGGAAGGTGCGGAAAGGAGCGAGACAAAATGGTCTTCAGAGATGCTTGAACCGGGTTGGCTCACCGTCGCACAAAGTGGATTAATCGCAAAAGGACCAGACTTGCGTTTATCACAAAGTATGATCTTTCCAAGAAGCTTAAAGTCCACGAGCGCAGGGAATGAGTTTCAGAGGAGCAGGTGGCAGACTTCTCTTGTGGGCAAGTGCAGAAAATGGTTGATTCAAACTCAATGAATTATGCCATCTCTCACCCAACTCCGCAGGCATCCCCTTTTCGGGAAAGAAGTCTCCTTGCGGGGAAAGGACCTTTCCAGAGTTGTTTGCATTCAGAGGGGAATATCCGGAAGCCTCTGCCTCGCCAATGGATTGGGGGAATGTGGAAATCGAGAAAATCGGGATCCCCATAATGGAGAGATACCGGGACACCAACAGGAAGCCAATCCGCGGTTGGTGCCCCTAACCATGGAAAACAAACACATGAGCTATTGACAATATTACCAGGGTACTGGATTGGGGTAGGTTTTTCAAGTGGGTGTCTGCTTTGGGTAGTCCTTCGGTCCATGGTGGCAGTACTGCTGGGTTCATGCTGTGGATGGACAAAATTGCACCACTTGGGATACACGAAGCCTTATGAATCATGGTTAGAACAAGCCACCTACCAAAGATCCGCAGTACAGCTGTGAGAAGCCAGCTTGTCAGTGCCCGTGCCTGCGTGATGACATCCACATTGCTCACCTGCTGCACCTGTCCAAGAACACGCAATCTATGGATCAGCATCTGCCCCTGCTTCACCAAAAACAGAAACATCCGCACAACTTGTTGTGCATGATCCAAGCCAAGGATGACTACAAATAATATCATTGCCAAGCCGGAAATAACCCAGCAAAGGGCATGGGTCATAGGTAAACTCCTTTATACCCGCTGATCTTGTTCGCTAGAAACACACATATATGTTGATGGTGTTTTTGTTCAAATGACTTGGACCCCAATTGTCTTTTTCCTTCTGGCCTCCCTCCCTTTAAACCGCTTTCAACCCAGCCAAAATGGGTACCCTCAACAAAAAGGAACCACGCCCGTGGGCCCATGGGGCTACTTGCGAAGTCATTTCAGCAGGTCTCCTTGTTTGTTGTCGCAGCTTGAAGCTGGAGAACGTGGACATCCTGTCATGTGAAGAAAAACCCTCAAGGCATTTCCAACGCGGCTCCTTGCCCGAGTATCCATATCCTCAACATATACATGACAAATATACATATGTGTGGCGCCACTAGATACAAATGTGTGCACGATGCACCATAAGAAATATGCACACTAAGAATATAATATAGACATATACATATCCGTACAATATGTAGATGTATGTATATAGCGCTTACATACATTATTATAGGTTATCGTATATATAGACGAGGGAGCGGAAAGAGAGAGAGAGAGAGAGACTGCCAGCAGGTTCCCATGAAGCTAGGTGTTTGTCCCGCACCCTGCCTGACAAGGCCAACAACGGCCCAACTCTGGGGTAAGACCTAGTTGGGCTTATTTGCGTCTATGCCAAAGCTTAACTTTACCCAGGGTGCCAATGTTGTTTGCAGGAAATGATTTACCCCAGACCCCATTGGCAGTTCGGTAATTAACTTCAACTCCAAACAAGAACCCAAACTGAAATATCAAACCAAACCAAACCATCAAACAAGAAATGGTGTCTCCATGCTAATCAACCCCAGATTATTAATTGGGGGGGTGCTACCCTCCCAAAGTGGTCTGAATCCCCCACTAAACCCAGGTTGACACCTATTAATAAGCTGCCTGGATCGCCAGTTGCTGTTTTTCTCCATGAACTTTACCCCAAAAACCAGCAACAGTGACTGAAAAAAGCAGCAACTTTCATAAGGGGTCAACATCAAGCCGCCTTTTCGATCTCAAAAAACAATGGTTCATCGCCTCCACCGCCTGCTCGTGCACCAGCTTCACCGGCACCTCCACAGCCTGGCGTTACTGACGGATAAACTGGGCGGTGGAAACATGGCATTGGTGAGGGGGATGACACCAATCATGATTAGACTTAGGCCTAGTTATAGAATGTATATTCTATTGTGTGCGTCCCTTTGAGTCATTGGAAAAATGTAAAAAGTATCCCAAGTCCGCCCCAGCAATGATGGTGCCGTAAAGAGGATGACACCACGGATGGTGCCGACTTGCAACCGGTGAAAATCACTCTCGTGAGCAACCCCCTGGCTTCCCTTTCAAGGGGAGAAAAGGGCTGGTCCAAGTACATCTTGTCCCGCTCTGTCCAGGGCAGTTCAGTGCGGATTGCTCAAACGTCGTGGAGCACAAAGCTCAGTGGACCGGTCAAACACAAATCTGGATGTGTTGCTACTCACTTGATCTAAGACTCAGAAGTCCAGAAGCTGTGAACGTGACGTTTCCTGCAGGACCTATCTCTTCAGGATTCATCTTGGTGAGTTTCCTATTCACAAGGAACCCTCAAGAAAGGGACGAACTTTGGGTCAAACCCTTGTGGCCTTCCGGGCAAACGGAGCAGCTCGGTGACCCGAAAAAATGCCTTCGATCACAGATGGGTTCCAAGGGGCGGCCAACCGACTCCCTTTCTGTAGTCTGGGTCCTTGGGAGAGATGGGCATGTGCCAGAAAAGGCGAGGCCTTTCAACTGCTGGCATGCGGCTCCGTTCGTTTTCTCCTTCAACTTGGAGCCGGCCAAAAAACGAGCTTTTCAAGTAGACAAACAGACCCAACATGGTCAACGGGGAAGAACCCGACAAACGAATAGGGATTTGGAGGCTGCAGCCGAACTGGGACCATATTTGCCCGGCTACCAGATGTTGACCAAAAAGCCAGAGGCACCCAGGAAACATGTTCGGATTCTGATTCAACTTTAGTCTACCAAAAATATAAGAGGCCTCAGGAAAAATGCTTCGGGATTGATATTACCTGGACCTTTTGATATGAACCCAAGGCATGGCCGGGTCCCGGGTCCCGGTCTCGATGAGCCCGCCCAAAGGAGATGTCTTTCGGGCGCTGCTAGATATGGGTTGTTTCAAATGGGAGGACCCCCTCCAAAATGGCCGGCTTTCTTCTGGTATTCCGTTCAAACCAACCGGACAAACTGCACCCCCAGACTTACACACCCATGTGTACTGGAATTTCACGTTCACTTTTCAGCTTGAAGAACTTTGCAGTCCCCGTCGTGAATCGATGTCTAAAAGGACGTATCTAGGTGGTCCGCCAGCTTTCTTGAGGACGGCACCAGCTTTGCTAGCTCCAAGCCCAGGAGAGAAACAATCTTCAAAGCGTAACTTCTGTCCGGTTTGAACTTGTCGTCTAGTACAGAAGCACACAAGTATCCTTGCAGCTTAAGGCGCTACGTTTGCCTCTGCCCAATGACTCTGCTAGAGAGAAAGAACTTGTTTGGGTTCCCAAAACCAAAGGGATCTTAGGGATAGAATCCAATGAACAACTTGGCTGCTCTCCGACCAAAGCGACCACTGCTCGCGCCTTGGTCTCAGCTTGTAGCTGTACCTGTCGCAACACAAAACAGCCCGCCTGGGTCATCGGAAGCAACCCTTTGATGTCCGCTGGAGGCAAATGGGCATGATGTGCGGCGCACAAATTGCTCTATACACAATAACATTCGAGTTTAGTAAGCGCACGGATGCCAAACATCACCTTTTTTTGTTTTTTCCAGCCCTGGACTGATTTATCCCCCCGTCGGAATCCTTCATACAGAAAGTGGCCCAAAAGCTCAATCTCCCAGGACGCCTTCGAAAGAGCCACCAACAAGGCTTAGTTCCTATCAAAACATTGATACAAGTGCACACGCACTTGAAATGGGCTGTTCTGAAATTCCGTTTCGGGATGTTTGATTTGCAAGACCGAAGGACGCAGCACAGGCAAAGCAACAGCACAATCCAATCAACATAGCATTTGAGTAACAACAAATTGAAAGATGTCACTCCTGGAACTCAGATCATCGTTTGTAGATCGGAATCTTCTGTTGGACCATTTGATTGGGGGACCCGGTCCCTAATCCATTTTGCTCCAGAGAAACCTGAGCCTTCTTGACTTACTCCTCCCTCCTGTGAAGAGCAACGTTCACTGGAGCGTCCCAATCGCAACAGGCACGGCACCCCGTTTGGGTTTGATTTCACAGGAAAGCCCTGTGACAACAGGTGATCCACTTCCCATTTGACGCAGCCAATCTGGCCACCTGGGGAGTACTGAAAGCCAAGTTTACATATCCTAGAAGGAACAATATGTTCTAAGGAGAGTTAACAATCAGAAGAATCGGATCAAACAGAACGCCATCGGGTACTCTCTTGTTTTTGCAGGGAAATCATATTCATGACCTCAACACATCAAGCATGTGGGTGGAATCAACGAATCACGCATCGCTTCGAAGCACGACAAAGCCAGGCGAGACAGTTGCTCGAAGCCCGGCAATACTGTCGCAGTTTTGATGCCCGTCAACAAACTTCAATACCTGGTTGCCAAGTGACCCTGGCAAAAAACGGGACCCTTTGTTGGGTTAACCACGTGTGCGGAACCCACAAATCAGAAAACAATGTTTTTGTTCAGGGTGATTTAGACAGGTACGAGGCGGAAGCTGAAGGCCACTTCCCGCCTTGGCAAACTCCCGTCGTGATTCTTGCCTGAGCCACAATGTTGACCCCGGATTAATCAACCCCAGTTAATTCATATGGGGGGTGTCAACCTGGTTTTAGTGGGGAAACTGACACTTTTGGAGGGAACACCTCCATATTAATAAATAGGGGTTTATCTATCCAGGGTCAACGTCACATAGCGAAGGCGAGAAATCGTGAGACGCCCGCTGTTCGCTATATGCAGAATGGGCTTTCCGCTTTACCCGAATCGGCGGTTCCCGGGTCAACTCGAGATTTCCACTTGAAGCATCACCCCGCCGAAACGCAACTTTGACTTTGCCTTCGCAGGGTGATGTAAAACCGAGTAAAACCTGGCAAACACGTTGAGGAGATATACCAAGGACTGATTCTACACATTGTCAGGGGAATTTCAGCTCCATTCCCAGCCAGCACCTCCCAACCCGACCGCTGAAAGGCACAGCAAGCTCTGCATCGGACGCTTCTCTCTTGAGGATCCCATCCATGCAAGCCATCAACAACCACCCAGACCCCCAAATTGATTTCCATGAGTAGACAAGCACCTTTTTGGGGGTAGTTGGCTTTACAGGGAGATCACCTCAACCAAACCAAATAAGCTCAGGTGATATCCCAACAGCATGTGGTGCTCTTTTTAGTGCTCGCACCACCCCGCAGCCCTCGCAGAACCTCGTGGAACCCTGGTGGAACCCTGGCGGAACCCTCGTGGAACCTTACTTCAGGGCCGCCCCGGACCACCCCGGAGCCTATCTGGGCTGAGACCCCAAAGCTTTCAGCTGTTGGGGAACAAAAAAGAAGGAAGCAACCCACTGTCTGGGATCCAGACAAATCACGCAAGAAAATGAGCGACTGCATTCGGATATCTTGCACAGTGGTTCGGAATCACTCGGACCCGAAGCATGCACAGAGTTCTCACAGATCCAGAAGTCGAATTCCCCTCTCGCCCCGGCCGCTCTTGGAGCCCTGAGACATGAATTCAATTAGGGACCCTGTGGACATCATTCAGGTTGGGGGGTCATGTCCAACCACTGAGGTTCCTCGTAAATCATACCCTCGATGCGCCGGGGTTCAAACCACCGGGCGTGTTTCAATCCCCGGGGCTCGCGCCACTGAACCTTCGGCACCTCCCGGATTCGCTCCACCGGCATCATCTGGGGCACCTGCAAAGCGCGGAGCCCGGAAATTCGGCACCACACCGCTGGTGACCGGAGGAAACATCAGGGGAGCATCATGGGACCATCAGTGGCAACATTGACAATTCTTGGTACCCCACCTGAGTTCACCAGTAACTAAACAGACAGGAGCTGCATGAGGCTCACAGAGGGCTTCGAACCCCCTTTTTGGGGGGGGCATTCGTGCACGATGCCAGAAATCCCAGAAAACTTTAAAACTACAAGGACATGGGAGCGTGTCAAAAGATGGGTTAACCCATTTTGAAAAGGGTACCTTCAAACAAACGGCACATCCATACCCTGCACTATGGCTTTGTCCATGCTGAAAGATTGGTTTACAGATTGCGCCAGTTGACCGAATCACAAGCGGCAAGTGGAAAATCAAAAGGAACGCCGGCCCCTTTTGACACCTTCCCTGTATGCATGATAGAAACTGCGAGCAGGATGTTAGGAAGCAGTTCTGGCGTGCAAGGACTCACAGGAAAATCAGTGGTAAGCGCAGACGAAACCGGCCCCGTCCAAGTGGTAGGTCAAGGGGAAGCAATCCCACTTGTTGATGTAGATTGCTCACAAAATGGCCCGTGCGGAACCATCGATTGCTCGAGTAAACATCATGCCCGAGCAAATGTAAACAGAAGCTAACACTGGCAACACAAAACAGAAGAAGCAACGTGTTTGTGGCAAAATAGGGAAACCCCTCTCTTGGTGCTTTCCCTGCTGGCTTCCCAATTCTGATCCGAAAAGAGAGCGCTGAAACCAACGCACGCCCATATTATGGAAGCAAACACTAAGTGGATCGGTTTGAAGGAAAATTGGGTGGAAGTGAGAGAGACTGATGCAAACAAAGCCGCAACGGGCTTCTGGCCGGTCGCACCTTCTTGGGACTGAAAATAAGCTGCTGGGTTTTGAGGACGTGAAAATCAAGCCAAACCTCAAGTTCTTTCTGCATTACAGCTAGCCAATACCTGAGCTTTGCTTAAGTGTCTGTTGTGGAAATATATCTTCAATGGATCTTTCTGCCTCACCTGGCATACACTGTCCAGGCGTCTAGTATAGGATCTGCACGCATTGGATCCTTCTCCTCCCCCTTGTGGTCTTTCCTTTCTAGGTAAAACGCATCGTTTTTTCGTTCAACGCACCAACCGGAGAAAAAAAGGACAAAGAAAAAATGAGACCTCGCTGGGCACCTCCCGACGCGCCCCTTTTGAAAGACATGCCGCGAAGGTCCCGGGCGCTCCTTCCAGTGACTCAAGTTTTGGATGGGTGGTTGGGTCTGAGGACGCATCACCTTCAGCTTCAAAAGAAAATATAATATATTGCTTTAAATCATCTAATGGTCTAAGCATCCAAACCCCAGTCATTCCCAGCCCTGAGGATTCTCCGATTGCCCTTAGCAATGGCAATCCACGTCACCAATTCTGACCGTGCCACTTGAAGGAGGAAAAACGACTATGCCACGGGCCCGTTTCGAGCGTGGCTGCAGGCTGCAACCCGTGCAGGATCCCCTTTGAAGATTGAAACTCTTCTCTGTAATTCACTCAGCACTCAGAACCCAACTGCTTTTCAACCATGTGAATCCCGGCTGAGGTGTTTGTTTTCGCAAATTTCTGGAATTGGCAACAATTAAGAGTTGCTCCAGGGTTTTTGGGTGAGTGTTGGGCTTGCCGAGATCTTCATGAGGGCAGGTCTTTGGCTTCTTTGGAGTTCATTTAGGCACGTGGTGTGCAGGGCTTTAGACTTTGCTTCAGGGTGCGGTGGTGTGAGTACGAGCCGCACATCTAGCGCAAATCAGCTTGCCAACACAAACCGACCCAAAGTCAAGCTTAAACATCCCCAACAGCATCCTGAATATCCGCCATTTGCGGAGCCTAAATGAAATGAACCCCAAACAAACCGAAGAGCTGCCCTTCAGCAACCCCAAGCCCAGCACTCACCCGAAACCAGCCAGGAGCAATTGCAACGAATTTCAGAAAATAGGCGGCCCAAGGTCCGAGCGAGGCTGGTGATGCTCCAACTATCTCAGCCATTGTACCCAGTTACCGGGGATGCTGGGGATGCGGCCACCCAACCAACCAACTATCACCAATCAGCCAACCAGCCGACCAGCCAACCAGCCGACCAGCCGACCAGCCGACCAGCCAGCCACCTGACCCTGACTAAAACAAAGAAGAAGCAACGGTTCCGTCAGTGCCACGTGTCCAAAAATCAGTTGGGGAATTTGGCTTGACTTCTCTTGTGTTTTGTGCTCCTCACCCCCTAACAAAAAGGTTTCCCCGAACACAGCAAATGTGTTTCTTCCAAGGGAATCTTTTCGTTTCTGTTTTTGGTTTGGGGGTGGGGGGGGCAAACGCCTTTGTTTAGGAGCAGTTTGGCTGCTTCATACATCTTCAGAAGTCATGCTCCTTGCATCCATTGTCCTTGAACCATGGACAACGAGGTTTCAAACAAGCGCCTTCGTCTTCAGCAAGGAACACCTTAAGGCTTCTCCAGGAAGAAAAAGGGGATGCATTGCCACCTAGCTCCGCTGAAGGTGGCATAGGCACAAGCGCCATGCAAAGGAAGCGGCTGGGCATCACGTAGTACGGTCCGCTTTCAGAACACAAAGGGGACGGGAACTGGCTACCGCCTTGCTCTGCAACAAGCGGCACAAACACAATGCAGAAGCCCAAAAGAGCCTCACTCAGCATCGTTCCAGTTCCCATCCCTCGAAAAAAAGCTAAGAAAGTAATCAGCCTGGATATCCAATGATTCCCGGCCTTGGGCTCAAAAGCAAGAGATTGAGCGTGCGCAAATGCCACAGGCAAAATCTTAAAGCGCACGAATGAATGGTAAAACGATGGAACTGCGAAACGCCATGACTGTTTTCTCCGCAACCCTCGCATGGATTCAACCTGCTACGGCCCTTTTGTGGGTTCTGGGCGCCCAGGAAGACACGTTCCAAAACAAACGTGTAAAAAATCACCTCCAAGCGCAAGGCTTCAGCAACCTCCAAATCGTTGATTCATCTGGCCTCACATCCTGATCCCGAAGCGAAGCCAGTTTGAGTCACTTTGAGACCCGTTTTTGACGAACCCCCGCTATGGATCCTGAAAGGGGCCTTTGGGATCGCCCGAAACGGAAAACACATTTTTTTCTTGCCATATGGTCAAATAGAGATTTGGCCCCTATAAATGGGCAACCCATACACCAACCTGACAAAATGGTGAACCTACAGCAGAAATAAATGGTGAAGCAAATGGTCAAAATATCGGGCCCACATTGTGTTTCTTTCCTTTACAACCTGAAAGTCCTTATGTTCACATCATACGTATTGCGCCGTGGCATTTGCAGAGACAAAGATGCAAACGTCCCAGCCCGAACGCCCGCACGGTCAAGACGCAACAGCATGGCCTTGCGCAGGAAAATCCTGCTATATAGAAAAATGCAAGCCGAGAAGCTGTAAGAAGCGACTAACGTCCCAACCCAAACGGTCAAGACGCAACAGCGCGGCTGTGCTCGGAAAAATCCCTCTAAAGGGAAGCGAGCCGAGAAGCTGTAAGAAGCGACTAACGTCCCAACCCAAATGGTCAAGATGCAACAGCGCGGCTTTGCGCGGGAAAATCCCGCTAAAGGGAAGCAAGCCGAGAAGCTGTGAGAAGCGATGCTATGCGCGCGTTGAGCCTGAACAAACGGAAAAAGTACCGCGCAACTGTAGAGGAATAATGGGGGCCATGTTGGAGCCTATGCAGAGAACCTTTGATATCATTAGGCACCAAACTTACTATTGGAAGGACCAGGTTCGTCATTTGTGATTGACTTGCATGTTCAGAATGCAAAAGGCGATGCTGGCGGGGTTGCCATCTTACACAATACATGGCCAGACTTAGACCCCCTCAAAAAAAAACGTTTCCCTGTTAATACTAAATATGAAGAACACCCAAAGGGAAAGGACCAAAAGGTTGGTTGAGTCTGGCAATCAATAGGCCATCAAAGAAATGACAAAACCAAAAGCTCTTGGGAAACGGAGACAGCACATAGACTTTTTGAATAGCTCCCGCGCGAACTGGACGACCTGCTATCGTGACATGGTGTTTAAGGGTCCGGTAATGGCAATTGTCCTTGCAGGGGCTTGCCAGAGGCATGTAAGTGGAAGGGCAGGATTTGACAGTTTGGCACCCGTTCGTTAGTTTTTTGGTTGCCTGAAAACCAAAAGGTAGAAGGGAGGCCAAACAAAACAGGCTTGGGGTTTCGAACAACAGGTTCTCTGGGGTCTCCTTTGGCTGGTTTCACTTACGGACCAACCATTTCGAGGCGGGATTTTACGACCCAGCCACATGGCTATGGCAGCTGGCGGCGAAACTAGTGAAAGAGAAGCCACCAATTGCCCTTATGTGAAATCTGTGGAGGAATAGCAGGTACGGGCAACTCAAAGGCGCAGGCACTGGTTCGAAAGCGAGGACTGAGAGCGTCAACTTTTGGACCCCCTGAAAATGGCTTCCCCCTCACAAATTGAATCTTTCAAGCCAACCCTAAACCCATCCACGAGTCCCTCAGAATGTGCATTGAAGGAGCCGCCTCTGGACCCTTGCAGCATCAAACTTCACGAGGACCGTAATGAAACGTATTTGTCTCGCTGTTCATCTGCTCGCAACACCCATCCCAAGAGCATGAGTGTCAATCAATTTGTTTAACAATGACTCCAGGCTCAGACAACAATTCCTAACATACGCGAAACGACCATAGACCACCTATAAGCCGTTTCTCGAATTGGTGGTGTACATGCCAATGGCCCCTGCCCCTGTATACCCCATTCGCCACTCAATTGGAATGGCACACGTAATTTGGTGTATGTAACGCTCTCCCCCTAGAAAGCTGCAGAAGGGGTTGTCTGTGATCGAACCTTACAATCTCGCGGAAAATCAACCATGACATAACTGGTATCACTTGGGATTCCTTTATCGCGGAACATAAAATGAAATCCCGCGTCCGGCCATGCTGACACCCTAACT